GTTTTGGAAAACAAGGTTGGCACTAAAAAATACCAGTTGACTTTTCAAGAATTGTTTAGGACTTACGAGGCATTTTCTTTTCCAATGACTTACAGATTATTGTCGTTTTTTTTTGTTAATATTTGTTCAAAATTTAGATTTATAAGAATTGTTTTCAATAATTATCAGAACTATGATATATGATCTTTTAGTAATAATTTTAATGAACTATCAACATTTTAAATATAATTTTTTCAATGAATATGGGAGCAATTTTCTGGAAGACCATCATAGCAAGGATCGTAGATATTTAAAATAGTTTCGTGAGAAACTACCAGGGCTAAGATCTTGGATTTTTTCAATAATTGTATGTTCGCATGTACACAAATTTCAAAAAAAATATTTTTAGTTATATTCTTTTCATTGCAAAAATCAAGTTAAATTTTATATCCAATCTCTTAGCAATCTTTAAACCCCATTACGATTTTCCAATAGCATTTTATTGCTACTCAATAAACATAAAAAGCAATTCCGAAACACACTTCTGCCAATGAAAGATGTGACCATGACAACGAAATGATGACTTTGTGCCATCCAATGCCTTCGATGCGTGCCTCTATGAAATTCAATGAAATTTTAAATTCATCTATAGGCCGGCTTATTTCGGACATTCTCTTTGGCCTATTCTCCTACAGAATGTTAAAATGTTAATGTTACCTTTGGGTGTCATTAGGATTTCGGCTAGAAAGCAGGCGCAAATAAACGCTGAGTGATGGTGAAAGTGTAAATCGCAGAGCACCATTGGTCCATGACCATGACGAAATTTTGGTTACTTTAATTATTCATTGGATTTAGAGATGTTGAATTTATCAGCGCTCTTATCGTTGTTTTGTGGCGGTTTCGGCTCTCATTTCGTTTCGGTAATTTAATGAAATGGTGTCTATCAAACCGAATAGATTTTCTTTTTACGTGCAAAATAGCCACTGTGAAATTCCATGACCATGCAAGAAAATAGTTATATTCTTAATTTGCATAAATGGAAGATGACTGACTAGCATTAGGAAATCTATGCTGATGTTTGAATAATTACATTAGTTTCTGGAACTTGATAGGGTAAGTGCGCCAAAGTTCGGCATGTCCCAATAGTCGGCAGTTTTGAAATTTAAACTTAAATAACTAAGAATAGAATTGACCAAATAATGAAATAATTGCAAAAAAAAAACGTCAACAGTTTTTTCTGCTCTCTTTTTGTAAAAACACAATGAGCTCCGATCATTTATTACGAGGGAATAACGGTTTTCGTTAGTGAGTGTCTTCCAACGCGTGCGATAGTGCTTGTTTGTAATCGATTGTAGTAAATTAAATTTAATACTTTTGGAATCAGAAATATTTTATGATAGTAAATAACAGTCTAAAGATCATTTTATAACATAAAAAACATACATAATCAAGCATTTTTTTTCTTATATTATTTAATGCCGACAATAGGAACAGAAAAAAGAGATTTACCAGTAGTCGGCAGGGGGGTGCCGATTACTAGAAAAATATCATTTTTGATCTATTTCACCAAAACTTGAGAAAAGTATTAACAAATAATCCAAAAACTACTCAAATAAAAAAATAGTTTTGAGTCGGCAGTTGCATTTATTTGGGCTTTTTGACCAACTTTTCTAAATTCAGTAGGTTTTTTTAAATCACCTATTTGACGTTTTAGATAGCGGTGGCATTTAAAAACCAGTAAAGAAAGTCCTAAAGTCGGGCGGGGCCGATTTTATGATACCCTACACCACTTTGCTAATTTAGTTGAGCTCCACTTAATAATTAAAAGTTTTTTATGGGAGAATTCAATCATACACGCTATGATTATAATTATAATTTAAAATTCAAAGGACTAAATATGCCGAAGCATTTGTATCTTTTAAATTCGGACTTATATTGGCCATTTGGTGCAAAATTAATTTGTAATCAGATAAAGATATATATGGGAACTATATCTAAATCCGAACCGATCTCGATAAAATTTGGCAAAGATATTTCTGAGCTGTATTTGATATATTTCCCTGAATATCGTTGTTACGGAGTGCATATTACGGCTGTAGATAACAAATACAACAAATTGGATGAACAATATATATGGGAGCTATAGCTATATCTGAACCGATCATCACCAAATTTGGCATACTACCTTCTAGGCTAAATTCCGTCGTATGTCCAAATTTCATCCCATTTGGGCAAATATTAGACGTTTGGTGCACAATAAAAGGTAAATCGGGCGAAGTTATATATGGGAGCTATATCCAAATCTGAACCGATCTCGATAAAATTTAGCAAATGTATTTCTGAGATGTATTTGATATATTTTCCCAAATATTGTTGTTGCAGAGTGCATATTACGGCTGCGGAGGACAAAAATAACAAATCGGATGAACAATATATATGGGAGCTATAGCTATATCTGAACCGATTTCGATCAAATTTGACACACTAATTTTCATGCCTAATTTGGTTGTATGTGCAAAATTCCATACTATTCGGGCTGATATTACACGTTTGGTGTACAATAAAAGGCAAATCGGACGAAGATATATATGGGAGCTATATCTAAATTTTTACCGATTATCTCCAATTTCAAATGTTGTTTGGAAAATTTCATCTCAATCGGATAATAAATGCGACCTGCATTTTGTTCACAAGAATACATGGACAGACGGACGGACGGACGGACGGACAGACGGACTGACATGCATAAATCAACTCAGAAAGTGATTCTATGCAGATCATCAAAAGGAACTATGGGTCTATCTCGTTTCCTTTTGCCTGTTACAAACAAATGCACAAAGACATAATACCCTGACCACCTTGTGGTGTAGGGTATAAAAAATGTTGGTTATCTAAAGGAAAAAGATCAATTCACAAATTCCAAATACAAGAAATGTTCTTTTTATTTAATCTCATTTTTATTTTAATTGAAAATCCATACGTTACTGAAGGTAACCATACTATTCTTGATTTTCTACCCATAATTGGTTTAGAATGATAATTAAATAAAACACTATTTAAAAACGAAATTAATTTCAAATTCTGTATTAAACTGTGAATTAGTAATATAGCATTGTTTTATACTATTTGAAATAAAAAATATACAAAATAATATATTTTTTACTGAAATACCATATGCCGACTACTGGCAAATGGACATGCCGAGCATTGGAAAATGGTGCCGACTACTGGCAAAAAGCTACTATTTTAGTAAAATTGCAAATTTTGCCAATTTAATAAAAACAAATTCAATTGTTGTTTATTATTTCGAACACTAAACAAAATTAGGAATCTGAGCAATTTTATTTTTCAGCAATTGAAAGATTTCACTCAGAATGTTGAAAGATTGACAAGTAAAAAAGCTGTAAGTTCGGCCGGGCCGAACTTTTAATACCCTTCACCATTTGGTACAAATTTGACAATTTCCAAAAAAAAAAAAAAAAAAAAATAAAATAAAATAAAATCCGTTAAAAATTCTGCTAAAATCTTAAAAATACCGAATGCCTATACGACGACGTGGACCCACATAGGCAACTTTTGTCATAAGTTATTACAATATTTTAATGCGAAACTTGAAGAAAAATCTGTTTATAATATAGCTAAAATCATCAAAACACCGAATATAGGGGGTACCGTTATATGGGGGCTATACGAAGACGTGGACCTGCACAGACAATTTTCTTGCATGGGCTGAAGTATCCATTACGAACTTCACATGCGAAATTTGAAACAATCCCGGTAAATAATGTTGCTAAAATCGTCAAAATACCGAATATCGGGGGGTACGGTATATGGGGGCTATACGAAGACGTGGACCTACATGGCCCATTTTCTGTTTTATGCTGCAGCATCTATTACGAACTTCAAATGCCAACTTTGAAACGATTCTAGTAAATAATGTCGCTAAAATCATCAAAATACCGAATATCGGGGGGTATGGTATATGGGGGCTATACGAAGACGTGCATCTACATGGCCCATTTTCTGTTTTATGCTGCAGTATCTATTACGAACTTCAAATACCAAATTTGGAACGATTCCGTTAAATAATGTCGCTAAAATCATCAAAATACCGAATATCGGAGGGTACCGTTATATAGGGGCTATACGAAGACGTGGACCTACACAGATTATTTTCTGTCTTAGGCTGTAGTATCCATTACGAACTTAAAATGCCAAATTTGAAACAATTCCGGTGAATAATGTCGCTAAAATCATCAAAATACCGAATATCGGGAGGTACCGTTATATGGGGCTATATGATAACTTAGACCTACATGGCCCATTTACGAACTTAATCTGTCTACTGGCAAAATATACGTGTGTGCAAAATTTTAGCCTTCTATCTCTATTTGTTCGAAAGATAGCGTGATTACAACAGACAGACGGACAGACAGACAGACACACAGACAGACGGACATGGTTAAATCGTCTTAGAATTTTACGCTGATCAAGAATATATATACTTTGTTGGGTCTGATATGAGAATGACAAAATTAATATACCCTCCATAGTATGGTGGAGGGTATAAAAATCGAAAATCCTAAAAGTTCCGACTACTGGTACACTTACCCTATATATTAAAAAATTATTTTGGTTTGCTTTTCACTTTTAGCTTTTTTTGACCCCTTTCCTAAATAATGAATTTTACTCATATAAAAATATATTAAAAGTGCAATTTGATTAATTATTTCCCCGGGCAAATTTTAAACATTTCCTCTCAATAAATGTACTTCATTATATAATGCAAATACATCAAACTTTATTTGGTACTCAACACTAATATTTCCATTTAATTAAACATTTGTAATGCACCATTACATTTCTCCCCCACAGCTATGGACAGAATTCCTCACACACACACACAGGGAAACACTCATCTCAATTATAATTAACACCCAATGTTCTCATCATAATTCATTTACAATATAAATCATTGAAACATAAATAAACATTACTAATATATTTTCTCATTTTTACAGACTCCTCTGGTCGAGACCTATTCCTTTGGCCTGGTATTTCAAACCACAATGGGAGCGTAAATTTGGCTACAAATGGCCACGAGCATTGTGCGATAATTGGATACGTAACGATAGATTTTTGAGGTAAGTGAAAAAAAAAAAACATGTTCTCGTGTAAAATTTGTGTGTCTTGTTGTAGTTTTAGATTGTTAGCATTGTTGGAATTGCAAGCAACGCTAAGTGTTTAAAGTTTGCTTTGAAAAGGTACTCAGCTCATTGAGTGTAACTTAGAGCGGGAAACTGGAAAATATTACATGTTTTAACCACAAAATCCAATGGTGATTCAAATAGTCTATAGAAATAAGTTGAAGGAGGGATAAACACCGGAAGAAATTTTATGTTTTTATACCCTACACCACATAGTGGTAAGGGTATTATGTCTTTGTGCATTTGTTTGTAACAGGCAAAAGGAAACGAGATAGACCCATAGTTCCTTTTGATGATCTGCATAGAATCACTTTCTGAGTTGATTTATGCATGTCAGTCCGTCTGTCCGTCCGTCCGTCCGTCCGACCGTCTGTCCATGTATTCTTGTGAACAAAATGCAGGTCGCATTTATTATCCGATTGAGATGAAATTTTGCAAACAACATTTGTTTGGCCCAAGGACGAACCCTATTGAAATTGGAGATAATCGGTACAAATATAGATATAGCTCCCATATATATCTTCGTCCGATTTCAGCCCGAATAGTATGGAATTTTGCACATACAACCAAATTAGGCCTGAAAATAAGTATGCCAAATTTGATCGAAATCGGTTCAGATATGGCTATAGCTCCCATATATATTGTTCATCCGATTTGTTATTTTTGTCCTCCGCAGCCGTAATATGCACTCTCTAACAAAAATATTTGGGAAAATATATCAAATGCAGCTCAGAAATACCTTTGCTAAATTTTATCGAGATCGGTTCAGATTTGGATATAGCTCCTATATATAACTTCGTCCGATTTACCTTTTATTGTACACCAAACTTCTAATATTTGCCCAAATGGGATGAAATTTGGCACTTACGACCGAATCTAGAGGCTAGTATGTCAAATTTGGTGATGATCGGTTCAGATATAGCTATAGCTCCCATATATACTGTCCATCCGATTTGTCATATTTGTTACCTACAGCCGTAATATGCACTCCGTTACAACGATATTCAGGGAAATATATCAAATACAGCTCAGAAATATCTTTGCCGAAATTATCGAGATCAGTTCCGATTTGGATATAGCTCCCATATATATTTTATCCGATTTCAAATTAATTGTGCACGAAATGGGCAATACAAGCCCGAATTTAAAAGACACAAATGCTTCGGCATATTTAGTCCTTTGAACTTTAAATTATAATTATAATCATTCGTGTATGATTGAATTCTCCCATAAAAACTTTTAGTTGTTATGTGCAGCTCTACTAAATTAGCAAAGTGGTGTAGGGCCCCGCCCGACTTTAAGACTTTCTTTACTTGTTTTCAACCATTTTCCTTGGCTCACAACTTTTCTGGACACACACAATACTTTTCCAATTTCTTCTGAGCTTGTCTGGCCCCATAACCTATTAGAAATAAAAGTCGATTGATGTTGGAGGTGATGTAAACATCAACGGATTCTTTATTCAACTGGCAATCAATATTGCGTCACACACACGCTTACATTATACAGGGTGAGATAATAATACTGGGTTTCTATTAAGTTTAGATTTGTTCGAATCGGTCACTTTTGTCTGCGGTATTTTAGCCCATTCCCGGCGAAGCGCTTGCATGATAAAAAAATACTCCAGACACAATAGTCCAACGGATTAGTATCGGTTGTTATGGAGGCCTACACCATCATTAAGACCGTCGCTTGAGTTCTGGTGGTCAACCGAAGATGCGCATTTTCAGCTGACCTCTTTTGGCAAGAAAACACGATCATTTTATTTGTTTACAGACTGCTGGACAACGAATATTTTCCCATCGGAGAAAACCAAATTCGACAGTTCACCACTTTCGGACAAGCGAAGCAACTCTTGAGCTCTTTTGAGTCTATTTTCTTTCTGTTGCGGTGTGAGATCTTGCACGTTTTGGAATTTCGATGCCTTACCCCGAGCTCATTTTTCAATATTTGCCGAATAGAACATTGTGATATTTTCAGCTCACGAGCCACTTTTCGGCCACTGCGACGCGGGTTTCGATCAAAACGCTTCTTTACTTTTCGAACCATTTTTGCTGTTTTCTTCTGCCCACTTCCTCGACTTCGGGCTACGCTGCCAGTATCACAGACATAAAATATTTATTCACATTTAAATGCTGGAGTGCTCTAACTATAGTACTGCAGTTTGTGGTTTTCCATCACGAATAACTTTTTTCCTGGAAAATTCTCATCAAAATGCTTTTTGGACAGCTGTCGGACGAGTGGCTTAGATATGACAGCAATCTGAAGTTGGTTGCAGTTTTTTTGTCTCACCATGTATATATATTTTATTTATAATTACCTTAATATTTTGTTTAGTACACTCAAATTGGTCAGTGTACCGCATTTGTTGGCTTAATTAAAAAGTTTTTGAAGTTTGGTTTTGTTTTCCATTTTGAGATGAGACAAAACTGCATCTCTGCCAAGAGCTACAGAATCTGTTCGTTGGGTCCTACTGTTGGTTTTGTAATTATTGCCGTTTAAGCAGTTTTCCCCCTGCTATGAAGTTCTAACAGTTGCTGTTTGTTGTACATAACCATGGCAATAGTTAATTATGTTGTGGCAATGTAAAATGTGTGGTTGCTTGGACCGACACAGATGCTCACACACAGATGCACCGAAACAACAATGGTAAAATGTTATTACATGAACTGTGGCGGAGGGGGAAGTGGAACAAAAAGAGAACTCATGTTATTGCAATAAAAATTGTTCAATTGTTTGAAGACCCAACCCAGATTTTATTGTTTCACTCGCTGCTGACTGGCGGGCGAGCGGTCTGAATGGTTGCCTGAAGCACTCAAGTGCACAACGTGCAACAAATTGCCATGATTTGCATGCCATTGACTTTTGGATTTAAGGGGTGCTTAGTTAATGTCTTTATCTTATTGTTCTCGTGGTTTTTTATTATTTTCTTTACTTTTATTGCATTCTTTGTTTTTTTTTTTTTTTCCTAGAAATTTCGCTGCTGACTTGCCCTTGTGTCCTTGCACTCTGGAACAGGCTGTGTACGATAAGGGCCGTTATAGGCCAGATCGTGATTGTGACAAGGACTCAAATCCAACATGTTTGCGTCACAAGACTGCCATTCATTGTGTGGTCAGTGGAACACCAACGTAAGTGGGAAATATATTAAACAGATTGAATAGATACTTAAAACATAATCTCAAATAATTTTACCAGGGCTCAAGGTGCTGAACAACAGTGTTGCTACGATCGTTATGGCTTCCTTATGTTATCACAGGATCAGGTATGGGGTTCCCGTCCGCGTCGTATTCACAATTTGGGTAAAATGCCATGGAACGAAGCCAGTAAAGTGCCCACCCTCTCAACATGGTTCCACGATATGCGTCCCTTCTATTCCTGTTGCTATTGGCAAGAAGAACAAGCTGTCGGCTGTGAAACCTATCGTTTTGAACGTCGCCCCTCCCAGGATTGTGTAGCCTATCAGGCACCCGGTGTTGCTGGCGTTTTTGGTGATCCGCATTTCATAACGTTCGATGGTACCCAATATACTTTCAATGGTTTGGGTGAATTTGTTTTATCGCGCAGTGTTGATGCCGATCAGCGATTTGAGGTTCAGGGTAGATTTGAACAGGTTCCAAATAATGTGTATGGTCCAGTACCGGCCACACAGTTGACCGCCTTGGCTATGCGTGGTAATACCACAACAACAATTGAGGTGCGCATACGTCCAAAACATGCTCGTTGGCGTTATAAGATGGATGTGTTGGCCGATGGTCGTCGGGTCTATTTTGATCGTGAATCGCTGAAATTCCAACATTTTGATGGTGTCACCGTTTATACACCCACTTATTTGTTGAATCAGTCCCAGGTTGTGGTAATGTTTGATTCTGGCATTGGTGTGGAAGTTATTGAAAATGAAGGTTACATGACGGGTCGTGTCTATTTGCCTTGGAACTTTATTGTAAGTAGCAGAACATTTCGGATGAAAATTTGAAATATTTATTTTTCCAAATATTAAAAATTACAGAATAAAACGGCAGGTCTGTTTGGCAATTGGAGTTTCAATCCCATGGACGATTTCACGTTGCCCAATGGCCAGGTATTGAACATAAATCCATCTGATTTCAAAACGGTGCACAATCAATGGGCCATGAATTGGATGTTGGCTGATCGTGATTTGCCTGGTGTGGGTGCTGCGTTGTTTACCCGAGAATTTGGTCGTACCGCAAGTTATTTTGCGAATTCATCCTTCGTACCGAACTATATACAGGAGCCAGCCAATTTCCTACCCGCCAATAGATCGTATGATGTTGAAAAGGCCGAGGACTTGTGCGGCGAATCGTATCAGTGTCGTTATGACTATGGCATGACTTTGAATCGAGATTTGGCACATTTTACAAAGAACTATTATGACAGTTTGATTAATATAAGGACATTGAATTCACAGTATGTATATATTGGATTATGTGATAATTTTTCTATTTCTCTAATCAATTTTTATTGAATAGGCGTGTGGTATCTTGTGGCGTTTTGGAAACACCCCGTTTTGGTCGCAAGTTGAGTTTCAACTTTATGCCCGGTGCCAAGGTATCCTTTGAGTGTAACGAAGGTTTCGTTTTGATTGGTGATCAACGACGTGAATGTTTGTCGAACGGTCTGTGGAATATACCGGAATATGGTTATACAACATGTCTACGTAAGTTTTCGTTGTTTATTTTTAAATGTTATTTTTTTTTTTTAAACGGAAGTTATTGGTGGAGTTATGATGATTCAGGATTTTACCTATTGACTTTTTATGTTTCTACTCCAAGGCTCAGCAATTTTCTTACGGTAAAAATTGGTCTCATCGCCTAGTTATATTTGGACGAAATCTGCTAAGGCATTTTAAGTTCGCATTAATCATGGCAGTCTCTCAATTTGCTTTAAAATCAGATCAAGTTTGAAAAGAGATAATATTTGTACATTCAACTCTCTCTCTACTCTTATTAAAACAAGCTTTCCCATATGAAGGAATACAGTGCCATTGGATATAGAATTGAATAAAAGCTCAGCGACAAGAGCTATAGAAACAAATCAAGGGTTGTAGATTCGATATTCAGAAATTGCTGTGAAAATGGATATATGTTTTAGTACTCTCAATCTTATGGCTTCAGAGGGTATATAAATTTCACACGATATTTCTGGCCGATCTATGCGGATGATTACTTTTGAAGGGGTATCCGATCTGATACAAACTTTGCAAATAACAGAGGGTAAAACATTTCACGCAATATTTCTGGTCGGCCTATGCGGATGATTACTTTTGAAGGGGTATCCGATCTTATCCAAAATTTGCAATTAGTGACGCTTTTTGTCGGCCTTACATCTAGTTCGAAGATGGACAATTTTGATCCACTCCCTCGAGTATTTCCCCCCAATGCCGCACAACATTATACTAATTTAGGTCGTATGCTAATACAATATTTTTAATAATCATAGCACATCAACTTTTTCCAAATGTTCCACATCCCAATATATATATACAGGGTGAGATAAAAAAACTGCAACAAAGTCAAACGCCATAATTTTAATTTTTATACCCTACACCACATAGTGGTAAGGGTATTATGTCTTTGTGCATTTGTTTGTAACATGGAGAAGGAAACGAGATAGACCCATAGTTACTTTTGAGAACCTTCATAGAATCACTTTCTGAGTCGATTTATGCATGTCAGTCCGTCTGTCCGTCCGTCTGTCCATGTATTCTTGTGAACAAAATGCAGGTCGCATTTATTATCCGATTGAGATGAAATTTTCCAAACAATATTTTTTTGGCCCAAGGACGAACCCTATTGAAATTGGTGAGAATCGGATCAAATTTAGATATAGCTCCCATATATATCTTCATCCGATTTCGGGTTAAATGTGCACCAAATGTCCACTATCAGTCCAAATTACCTGAATTTTGGCACACCCAACCGAGTTCGGCCTAGAAGCAAGTATATCAAATTTGGAGAAAATCGGTTCAGATATAGCTATAGCTCCCATATATATCTTTCATCCGATTTGATCTTTAAGTTCCTCACATTCCTACTATGCACTCCACAACCGTGATATTTGGTACCAGGTATTAGATGGAGCACAGAAATAGCTGTTTTAAATTTTATCGAAATCGGTTCAGATTTGGATATAGCTCCCATATATATCTTCATCCGATTTCGGGTTAATTGACCACCAAATGGCCAATATCAGCCCAAATGGCCCGAATTTTGGCACATGTGACCGAGATTAGCCTTAAAACAAATACAATAAATTTGGAGAAAATTGGTTCAGATATAGCTATAGCTCCCATATATATGTTTTATCCGATTTGGTGTTTAAGCCTTTCACATTCGTAATATGCACTCCACAAGAATGATATTTGGTACCAGATATAAGATACAGCCCAGAAATAGCTGTTTGTAATTTTATCGAAATCGGTTCAGATTTGGATATAGCTCCCATATATATCCTCATCCGATTTCGGGTTAATTGTGCACCAAATGGCCAATATAAGTCCAAATGGACTGAATTTTAGTACATCGGACCAAATTCAGCCTAGAAGCAAGTATATCAAATTTAGTGAAAATCGGTTCAGATATAGATATAGCAACCATATATATGTTTCATCCGATTTAGTGTTTTAGCCCCATACATTCGTAATATTCACTCCACAACCGTGATATTTGGTACCAGGTATTAGATGGAGCACAGGAATAGCTGTTTTAAATTTTATCGAAATCGGTTCAGATTTGGATATAGCTCCCATATATATCTTCATCCGATTTCGGGTTAAATGTGCACTAAATGGTCAATATCAGCCCAAATCACCTAAATTTTCGTACATAAGACCGAATTCAGTCTAGAAGCTAATACGTAAAATTTGGAGAAACCCGGTTCAGAGATAGCTATAGTTCGTAAAATGCACGATAGAATTAGATAGATTTTGATTTTGTACCAAATATCTCATAGAGCTCTGAAATGCCCTGTATAAACCTTTTTACGAGAGCTCTACTAAATACGCATAGTGGTGTAGGGTATCATATAGTCGGCCCCGCCCGACTTTTGAGCTTTCCTTACTGGTTTTAAATTTCGTTAAATGAAAGCAAAAAATGTCGGAAATAGCATCAAATTTTAGAATAAGTTTAGATTTGTTCGAATTAGTCACCTTTGGCACGAATTATGGTCTTCAACCTGCCAATGAAACGTCACACGCTGCCCGAATGTTGCTCTGCTGTGTTTTGGCCCATTCCCGGTGAAGCGCTTGATTGAGGTGATCGACACTTTGGTATTTTTTAGTGCCAATCTTGCTTTCCAAAATACTCCAGACACAATAGTCCAACGGATTGGTATCCGGAGATTTTGGTGGCCATTGTGCGCTGGAAATGAAGCGAGGAACCTCATTTTGTAACCATTCTTGGGTGGCGAGTGCTGAGTCCTGTCGGAATGTCCAAGGTCTGCGGCCAAAATTTTTGCGTGCCCAAGGTTTTAATACACAGTCCAGAATATTTCGCGATAATATTCAGCATTTATTCAGATGTCATGGTCGATTAATACGAGCGGGGAGCGACTATCGGCTGTTATGGCGGCCCACACCATCACCATGGCCGGCGCTTGAGTTCTGGTGGCCAACCGAAGCTGCACATTTTCAGCTGACCTCTTTGGCAAGTGAACACGAACATTTTGTTTGTTTACAAACTGCTGGACAACGAATGTTTTCTCTTCGGAGAAAACCAAATTCGGCAGTTCACTACTTTATATCTTTTGAGTCTATTTTCTTTCTATTGCGCTGTAAGTTCTTGCACTTTTTGGAATTTCAATGGCTTTACCCCGAGCTCATTTTTCAAAATTTTCCGAATGGAATATTGCGATATGTTCAGGTCACGAGCCATTTTTCAGCCACTGCGACGCGGGTTTTGATCAAGTCGCTTCTTTACTTTTCGAACCATTTCTGCTGATGTTGCTGTTTTCTTCCGTCCACTTTCTTGACGTCGGGCTACACTACCAGTATCACGGTAACGAGCGATAGTACGAGACACAAAATATTTATTCACATTTAAATGCTGGAGTGCTCCAACGATAGTCACTTGTGGTTTTTCAGCCAAATATAAAGAAATCACACTATCACGCTTGAATTCCATCACGAATAATTTTTTTCTGGAAAATTCTCACCAAAATGCTTTTGTACTCTTATAAACAGTATATAATGAGCTGTCACTGGAATAATTTTAACAGCTGTCGGACAAGGGGCTTAGAAATGACAGCAGTCTGAAGTTGGTTGCAGTTTTTTCATCTCACCTTGTATAGGTGTTTGTCACCATACCCTCGATTGTAAAAGGCACCCTAATTTGTGAGAGATGGCAAACTCTGGCCCTCAGTAATTAAAGGCTGCAAGTTATGCTTATTTCTTCTCTCCAATACTTTTTGCTTCATTCTGGTAGTTATACCTCTCTGTTCCATTCAGTTCACCCAAAGCCGACTTAGAATGCAGTAGAGTAGTATACCTTCTTGTAGGAGGCTGACCATACATTTGCAATGTCATATGGATAATTCTATGCAATAATGCTTGCATGTGTTAGTGAAAATTATTACTTAGAAAGCTTTATTTTGCAAAATTCTGGACTTCTTAAAATTCTCTGCCAATAATTTCCTTTAGGTTTATTCTCTTTTAATTTCCTATTTCATTTTGGTTGAATCATAAGAGTTTTGTCTCACACATATCTCATTAATACACTTCTTTTGCTAAAACACTCAAATTTGCTAAAAACGCACACACCCGCCTCCCCCCCAACAGGTGAAGTTTTCTATACCCGACGTGTGGCTTTCATAGCAATTGGCATTATCATAGCTGTTATTCTTCCATTGATGTTGTGCATTGTATGCGGTGTGTATCGCTTCCGTCAAAAGCAGTTGAAGGAGGATCCACAATGGCAAATGACGCTGCCTCGTTCTCGTGCCTCGTCGCGCACCAATTTGAGGGCTTTGAATGCAAATGGCGATTATGACAGCGATACGGATGCAACGGGAACACTAAAGAAAAGTAGGTCATATGATAAAGTTTACCGTACGAATGAACCACTACCGGGCAAACCACGTATTGATTTTCCAGCTAAAAAATGGGATCTGGACGATGGGGATGTGACATCATCAGAAGGTAGTGAAAATAAAGATACAAAATTAGCTAAGGATATTGAATACATTAATAAAACAGGTGAGAAGCCGAAACAGATGGGTCGTCGTTCGTTGCGTGGCATATCGGGTACGGATCAGGATCAGCTGCCGGAACATGAGGAACATGACGAACATGCGGCGGCCGGCGTAGCTGGACATTCGGATGAACATGACGATGTAGGTGTTCAACATCCGGCAGGTTATCATCAGCCACCATCACCCGAGGCCGATGATCATGACGAACATGGTTTGCCCTTGCATCAGGCGATGCATCCAGCGGCGGGTACTCAGGCCCAATATAGTCCAACATTTAGTGGTGCCGATAGTAGTTTCAGTGGTGAAAGTTATCACCCCAATAATCCGCCACAAACACGTTATGGTGGTGTACAAGTTCTGCCAAATACCAATAGTCAATACTTTAATAGGCCGCCATCTAGTATGCCAGTAACTGGTGGTCAAGCAGTGCCAGCAGCCACCCCAGTTCGTCCGGCCCCCATTGTGGGTACACCCTTGACCCAAGATAATGGTTTGCCTTCACCTCCCCATGCTGCATCGCCCACCCCATCCGCCCTTAACCAAAGATCCACAGAAGTCTAATTCTCATTCATAATGCCATCTAAAAAAAAAATAGAACTAATCCCAAACCTCAACAACCCATCAATAACCCAACCCACCAGCCAAAAACAAAATAACCAACATCCATTTACATTTCTTCGTCTTCGAAAAAACAAAAAAACAAAAAAACAATTTTTTTTCGAAAAAACGAAAAAACATTTTTTTCGAATTGGTATTGGATAATTCTGCATTATTGAAATTTAAAGCCATATCATGGGATTCTTGTCATGCGGTAAACATTTTTTTATTTTTTCCACAACGTTTTTGTCATCCAAAAAGCTATTAAGTTCAAATTGTAATAACAACTCCCAACATTTTTACCATTTATTTCTGTTATAAAAAAAATCTTATATAAATGTTAATTTTTTTAATTTTTAATTTTTTTAATGTATCTATAGAAATCATAAGACCTAATAAAGCGTATTAACATTCATTCTAACATTGAACATTAAATGTTGGTTACAGCTAAATACTGTGAATGTACTTTTTTATTTTTCATTGTAAAATACTTAAAAAAACCATACCATTGGCTTTTAATCATTGAAACCAAAAATGGAAAAGAAGGTGTCTGATTCCGTATGTCCAATGTCATATGAAGGTCATCGCGGTTTTTCAATTCAGCTCATAATATATTGGTTTCAATAAGCAATGAATTAGAAAAATGGAGCCAAATTTGCTTTTGTATTGGGTTTCTCTATTTAAAATACTTTCTCTGAACCATGACGTTGCTAAATAAATGAAATGGGCTTCATAGAATAAAATGCTTGAATATTCTTTGGAAGTTCTGAAAAATCAAATAAGAAATCTGATTTGTGACAAAAGTGGATCCCTTTCAACTTTATTTATAAAAAATACATTTGACATTCAGAATCGGACATCACACACCTAACATGTATGAAAATTAACGAAATAAGGTCATTTCAGAAATAAACGCTTTCTTATCATTTCACATTGTTCGTATAACCTTTAAACATAATTTTCCTGTCTTAAGAAAAAACGATAAAAGTGTAACTCTTTGAAATAATTACTTATCATGAAAATATATTTCAGTTTTTTTTTGTTATATCAAATGTTTTGTTTTTTGGAATATTTTATTTTTTGTGTGCCGTTTTTCAGAGAAAAAGCGAGGATGGGAAATGTGGAATGACTCCAAAGCTAAAGAACAATACTTCTCATCAATAAATCAGTGTTAAATCATTATTAATAATTTTTTTAATTCGCTTCATAAATAATTTTAAGACAAATTAATAATATAAAAACAATTGAAATATATCCTTATATAAGGAAAGATAGGATTTTGGGTTTTTCTTAAATTATCTCCCGTTTGGACTCACTGGTTTGAGATAAAAAATACGCGGCATATTTCAAGGGTCAGTACTGAGCTTGATATTTGCAAAGTAATAATTTCATAAAATATTAGGAATTTCCGGTAGGCGTATAATTTTTATTCAAATTAGGAATCCACTCAAATATCCTCAAAAAGTATAAATATTAGAAATAGATAATATTAGAAATTTCCTAGATAAAATATTAGAAATTTCCGGTAGGCGTATCATTTTTAATAAATTTGGAAATACCTTCAAATATCCTCAAAAAGTATATCAGAATAAAATTATGAGGAGATTTAGCGATATCCCTGTGTCTGTTGAAATTACGATAGAGTCCATATTATTTAATGCAGAGTTTTGAAATTTGACACAAATGCTTTTATTATATATGCTGATAGGTATTGAAAATGGGCTATATTGGTCCAAACTTCAGTTTAGTTTGCATACTACAGTACCTCCATATTTTCGGTATTTTGAAGGTTTCTGCCACAATTTCCAACAAAATCAGCTGAAACTTTATATTTGGGGTAGGTCTGCTCTCTCCCTGCAAAAAAAATATTCGCTACCGGTATAGCCCCCATATAACGGTACCTTCCATTTTTCGATATTTTGAAGGTTTATGCCATAATTTTCCACCAAATTAGACGATAATATTGGTCTGTAGCACCTCGAAATATACATTTTAGACCTCACAAAATATATATATTCTTGATCAGCATAAAAATCTATTTCGATTTAGCGATGTCCCTCCGTCTGTCCGTCTGTGGAAATCACTCTAGCCTCCGAAAGAAATGAAGTAAATTGATAAAATTTTACTCAAATGTATATTATATCTGGTATTGAAAATTGGCCATGTAAGTCCACATTTTGGTATAGCCCCTATATAACGGTACTTCCCGGTATTTGGTACTTTGTTGATTTTGGCTACACTTTTCACCGGAATTGTTTCAACTTAGGTATTTGAAGTTCGTAATGGATACTACAGCATATGACAGGAGATTGTCTGTGCAGGTCTACGTCTTCGTATAGTCCCCATAACCGTACCTCCCTAATATAACGGCTACAATGACGGAGGGTATTCAAAGTTCGGCCTGGCCGAACTTACAGCTTTTTACTTGTTTTTAAAATAATTAAGTGACATTGATTGGTTGGTTGCTTAACAAAAACTCCGATTTCGCTAGAACGCCTTGATTTACACTCCAAAACTCAAAAACCATAACTATTTTTATCTTGGCATAAGTTGAATAATAAGTCTTATCTTTAACAGACTTGAGAGTTTAATAACATTATTTAAGAATTCCAGAGTTAAATTTAATTTTGTGGAGCCCAATCCTTAGAGAACCTTAAATCTTTAAATATTTTTAAAGGGACCCTATTACAAAAAGTCATACCAAAGTGATTGGCTAAAATGCTGCATTTGATGAAACAAAAACATAATCGGGAGTTTTTGAAGTGTTCGACTTAAACTTCAAAATTCCTAATCTAGTTCTTACCAAATTACAGGAAAATATATTGAACCCACATCAAAAAAATATTCTACCGGATGATATTTTACAAAAAGATACTCCGAAATGACATCTTACTTCCCCTACGGTTATACAAAGCTATTGAGAAATATTAATTTATAAATTAAATAAACCACTATTAAAAACTACTTAAAATAATTGTGAAGTTTAATTTTATCCTCCTTTACAGTTTTTTTTTTTTTTGCCAAGGCTAAAAATTCCAATTAATTCCTTTATCCGCTTGGACATTCCTCTAAGCCCAAATAGCAGCAGCAGAAAAAACAAAAATAATAAACTATTTGCATGTAATTTTTATTTTTAATTAAACATTTTATTGTTTGCTTTGTTTTATTGCAATTATTTGTTTTTTTTTCTTATTTGTTTTTATTGTCTTCATTTCAATAACATTTTTTTACAGCAACGATAATGCCAATTGTTACACAAAAAGCCTGCGAGTCGTGGTTTTTACACCTACAAATTAATGTGATATAATTGTATTGAGTGTGAGTGAGTGTGTGTGTGCGGGAATTTTTTATGTCTCGCCATCACTTTGAATTATTTGTTATTGTTTCGCGTTTATTTGGAAATGAATTGCAAACGAAAACAATTTATATGGGAAATTAAATTGGTTTTTTATTGCAATTTTTGTGTAACAAATTGGCATTACGTTCAATAAAATGTCGTTAGGGTTTTTGGCTCCAAATGAAATTCAGATGGATTTTATTTCTTTGGTTTGGTTTTTTGGTTTGGTTCTTTTCGAGGAGAGTAATATTCCAATTTTGATTTATGATGATTATTAAATAGGTAGATGTTTTTATTTTTACGATTGTAAAGTGTGTTACACCTTCAGGGGTTGATTGCCTGAATATGGGCAATAATGAAAGAGAAATATGACATTGTTTCAATATGCTGAATAAAATGAATGGATTTAAGTAATGGGTTTTATAAGGGTGCTTTAAATTAAAATTAAGTTTTGAAAATCCAGGACAATTTAAATAATTATTAATTTCATACATAATTCTTGTTTTTTTTAATGTACATTTTTCAAGGGCTATCAGATTTTTTTAAGTACTATTTTCAGAACTATTCGGGGTTTCATACACTTTTTTATATAATATAGATTTTTAATGACTCTCAGAGACATAAACGTGGAATTTTTTGTTATATTTTTTTCAAAGATTATCACAGATGTAAATTTGATTTTTAATATTATTTTTTTCGAGGACTCTCAGAAATAAACGTATGTTTTTTAATATATTTTTTTCAAAAACTCGGAGAAATAAAGGTCGTTTTTTTAATATAATTATTTCAAGGATTCTGAGAAAAAAACGTAGATTTTTAATATAATTTTTTGAAGGACTCTCAGAAGCATAAACGTGGATTTTTTAATATATTTTTTTCAAGGACTCTCAGAAGCATAAACGTGGATTTTTGAATATATTTTTTTCAAGGACTCTCAGAGGCATAAACGTGGATTTTTTAATATATTTTTTTCAAGGACTCTCAGAAGCATAAAGGTGGATTTTTTAATATATTTTTTTCAAGGACTCTCAGAAGCATAAACGTGGTTTTTTTAATATATTTTTTTCAAGGACTCTCAGAAGCATAAACGTGGATTTTTTAATATATTTTTTTCAAGGACTCTCAGAAGCATAAACGTGGATTTTTTAATATATTTTTTCAAGGACTCTCAGAAGCATAAACGTGGATTTTTGAATATATTTTTTTCAAGGACTCTCAGAAGCATAAACGTGGATTTTTGAATATATTTTTTTCAAGGACTCTCAGAAGCATAAACGTGGATTTTTGAATATATTTTTTTCAAGGACTCTCAGAAGCAAAAACGTGGATTTTTTAATATATTTTTTTCAAGGACTCTCAGAAGCATAAACGTGGATTTTTTAATATATTTTTTTCAAGGACTCTCAGAAGCATAAACCTGGATTTTTGAATATATTTTTTTCAAGGACTCTCAGAAGCATAAACGTGGATTTTTGAATATATTTTTTAAGGACTCTCAGAAGCATAAACGTGGATTTTTGAATATATTTTTTCAAGGACTCTCAGAAGCATAAACGTGGATTTTTGAATATATTTTTTTCAAGGACTCTTAGAAGCAAAAACGTGGATTTTTGAATATATTTTTTTTAAGGACTCTTGTTTTACTCTTGTTTTTTAATATAATTTTTTCAAGGGGTCTCATTTATATAATTTTTCCAAGGACTCTCAGAGGCATAAACGTGGATTTTTTAATATATTTTTTCAAGGACTTTCAGAAGCATAATCTTGTTTTTTTAATATAATTCTTCCAAGGACTCTCAGAGGCATAAACGTGATTTTTTAATGTATTCTTTAAGGACCTTCTTTTCAAGTACCCTCAAGCACATGGATTTTTAATACAACTTTTTCAAGGACTCTCAGAGGCATAAACGTATATTTTTAATGTAATTTTTCAAAGACTATGACAGGCATAAACGTGGGATTTTTAATATAATTTTTTCCAGGACTCTCAAGGGCATAAACGTGGGCGTTTTAATACAATTTTTTCAAGGACTCTGAAGAGCATAAACGAGGGAATTTTAATACAATTTTTTGTGGGATTTTTAATACAATTTTTTCAAAGACTCTCAGAGGAAT